AATGCTAAACTCAATCCCCAGTTGTTCTATGTGGCCCAAATAAAAAAGCAGTCAAATTTCCCTTAGGTTAGCTAGCCTCAACTGCTGAAATGTGGATATACATTAATATCCATGCAGTTTTCTTGGCATGATATGGAAGTACATTTCCATTATCTTCTTCCAAAATGTTCCTTTCAACTTCCCAATTAGCTTACAGATCTGGGCTCTCTTGGGGCCTCCCATACAAGGTCTGTTGACCACGCTTATCTTTTGAAAGGTAATTACCTTAGCTGAAGGCCACCATTTCGCTGATAAGAAGGTTCATGTGCTGATAAATATGCAAAGAGTACCACCGGCAGCATTTTAACACTGACTACTAGATATCCTAATGAGAATCTCAAGCTGTTTGGGATCCTCACCAGAATCAGATTAGAAAGGAATGTCCACAGCAGTTCAAACAACGTTTCCCATACTGCAATTGTTCATGGATGAGGTGCAGGTAGACGTATCAGCACAATTGAGCCCAAAAGTCCAATTGCTAAATGGCGCATTTGTTAAGTGAATTTTACCCCGTTTTACAGCTTTCCTTGCCACGGTTGTTAAGTGGATCACTGCCGTTCTTAAGTCAGTAACATGATTCTTAAGTGAATTCGGCTTCCCCATTGACTTTGCTTGTCAGAAGGTTGCAAAAGGGGATCACATGATCCCTGGACCCTGCAACCGTCCAAAATAGGAGTCAGTTGCCTAGGGTCTGAATTTTGGTCACGTGACCCCAGGGATGCTGCAATGGTTGTAAGTGTGAAAAATGGTCGTAAGTCCCTTTTTTCAGTGCCTTTTGGTCACTAAATGAACTGTTGTAAGTCGAAGGTTACCTATCTTTGTGATCTTTCTTACAGGTAACCTGCATCTGCATAACTCATCTATCTTGGGCCAATGAAAAGATTTGGAAAGAACAGTCTGTGTGTGTATGTGCTTAATGGTATTTTTTTTTTTGAGAGCTGAATGTAATGTAATTTCATTTTAATGCATGCTGATTAGTGTACATTGAAAGTAACACTAAAGATTTATTCTACTCTATTGTATTGTATTGTATTGTATTCTGTTCCATTCCTATTCCATTCAATATTTTCTATTCTATTCTATTCTATTCTATTCTATTCTATTCTATTCTATTCTATTCTATTCCTACTCTACTCTACTCTACTCTACTCTTATTCTATTCTACTCTACTCTATTCTACTCTTACTCTACTCTACTCTACTCTACTCTTATTCTATTCTATTCTACTCTACTCTACTCTACTCTTATTCTACTCTACTCTACTCTACTCTACTCTACTCTTATTCTATTCTATTCTAGGGAATTCCGGGAGCTGCAATGCACAGAGCTTTAAGTGGCTGAGCTTCAGAAATTCTGAGTTAGAGAGACAACATGCAGGCTCAAAATGTTCCCTAAAACCTTCCAAAATGTATCATTATTTATTGTATTTAAAAAGCACTCTAAGCCATAGTTTCCAAACTACAGTGGCCCCAGATTATCACAACAAGGTACACATTGTATAATTATGATATTGCCCATCAGCAGACTTATCAAAGAATTCAGCTTCCTTTGCTTTGGAAGGCAACTATTTTTAAGATTAAACATTAAGCAATGTTACCTATCCGGACATAGGAAGTGTGCTTTCTCCGTTGCAATCTCTGCCCTCTGGAGATGATTTGTTTGGCTTCCATCCTAATATTTGAAAAGCCGTGTAAACTTGGCTTTTTTCCCCAGGTTTGGAGTACAATAATTGTCGGGCCACCGTGGGACATTTTGTTTACTAACGTGTGGTTTCCTTCTGGATGCATATGATCTGGTTTTCCCATTTCACCATTGTCCTCTTTCAGAACTGTGAGCACCCGGAGTTGTGTGGAGTTGAGCAACCTCTAAATTTTGGAAACTAAATGAAATAAATTTCCTCCCAAGCTACTGAGAAGAAAAAGGACTAAGGTTAGCAGCCATTCACAGATTTGCTTGCCTTGTTCAACCC